TACCTTACCCTAAACCCCTAAACCCCTAAACCCCTAAACCCCTAAACCCTAAACCTTAAACCCTAAACCCCTAAACCCCTAAACCCTAAACCCTAAACCCTAAACCCCTAAACCCTAAACTCCAAACTCTAAACCGATCGTTACCCCATATTAGGCTTCGAAAGCAAAGAAGCTCCGGCACAACGGGTTTCCAGCTCCGGGCGAGTTGCAGGGTGCCAGGAACCGGGCCGAAGAACAGGGGCGTTTTGGGGCTTAGGCTTTTTTGGGTTTTGTTTTGTTTTTTGAGCCGGGCCTTTTTCTTTTTTGGGGTTTGGGGTTTAGGGTTTAGGGTTTAGAGTGCAGGAGTAGAGTTTAGGGTCTAGGGGTTTAGGGTTGTAGGGTTTTAGGGTTGACAGGACTTGCGGATAGCTCATCGTAGAACGCTTTATGAACACGAATAGAGGGACCTCGACGATCAGATCCTACACGCGAAACCTGAATCCTACAGCCTAAACCCCAAACCCCACACCCTCTCAATCCGGCACCGTTAGGCCGAAATTCTAATTTTCCCTCGGCCGACCGGTCTACATAAGTTCTGGCCCTAGACCCTACAACCAAACAGCCCAAAGGTGTCAGGCCCCAGGTCAAGAAAGTCACTGCAAACAGGGGATGTTGGACGACGAAGCTGGGAGTTTCAGCACGCTGAGATTGGATCTTTAAGCAAGAAAGCGACAACCGGCAGCCACGTTTTTTGACCATCGTCTTCTGTGCTGACCTGTCTTATCCGGATGATGTACAAGCAACAGCAAAAGCTCCAGATCGCCCTGGTTCTAGTCGGATTTCTCACGTGATTGCGGTTTCGCCTTCGATGATCTGAAACATCGGCGGAGGCACATGAGCAGTAGCACGGTGACGGGGATCCACGAGTAGATCACCACCTTCAGCATTAAGCCAAGCCGTGCGATAAAGGCGGAGTCGTTCACCTTTGGGAAAGGGACATCCGGCACCGGCTGCCCCAGAAAGGAGCACAGAGGCTCCCAGCCCTCCGTCACTGTGAACTCGAGGAGCTTCTCTTCCGGCACAAGGGTCCGAACCATCCTGCGTTGTAACTTTGGGGCCCTTCAAAGTATATTTATGAATAAATACCTCCTCCGGGAACTAATAAAGGGAAGTTCAAAAGATTCCCAAAGTACCACCTAGCATCGCATTGTGCTTCTCGTACTGGGTGGCCAGCCAGCCCTCACGATGCTGATCGTACTCGTAAATGAGTTTGCAGGGCTCTAGCCACATGGTTTTCTGTCCCATCAAGCAGCGAGCTGCATTGAGATCCTGAACTCTAGGAATGAAGGAGAGAAAGTTCGGGTAGAAGAGAGAGAAGGGACTGCTCTGAACACGAACGGTTTCCATCAGAGTTGAGAAAGACTTTTCCCAACCAGCTGCTTCCTTAGGGTGCAGTGTGAGGATAACTTGCGCATCAGGAAACATCTTCATCTGCTCTGCAAAATACTCGCACATGGGATTGTCCATGGTTGCGTTGTAGCCATCCTTGGCAATCTTTTCGAAGACCTCCTTCACTGAGACCTTACCTTCATAAAGCTCTCTCCACTTCTTCGCATGGGAGCCGTCTCGCAGCAAAGCCTCCATGTGATAAGTATTATATCCGAGTGTTCGCAATGCCTCCTGCATGCTCATCGTACCCGTCCTTCCGAGACCAGCGACAATCACCCGAATTTCTCCTTCTGGCTTTGTCATGCTTGTCCGTAGGCGGTTGAGGATTTGTCGATGTTCGGTTCTGGGAGGGTGGCCTGGTCCTCGCCGCGGCTATGCCAGGCCCATCCACCACGAGCGAAAGGAGCTTCACCGCGGGAAGGCTAGCAACCACACACTTAGTCTTATGAGAGATCTTAGTATACCAGAAGCCTTCGATACGTGCCAGTGTGTTGCGTAGAGCCACAATAAACCCTAGCCTTTTACAGTCTGAAGCCCTTAAAGCCATGAGTAAGCTCCAAACTATATGCCAAGAGCTGCAGTGCACAAACTGCTGGCCCCGAAAATGAGCTTGAACAGACAGTTCAGAGAGATCTCATATCATGCAAGCATAGCAATGTTGTAATTTGCTAATGCCTTCCAAGAAGTTTGTTAGGTTTTCTTGACCTCGATCTCCTCATTGGAGGAGTTTGGACACATGGCTCAGAGGCTGCAGCTCCAAGAACTATGGGTGACACGAGACTAGACACTTCTGAATAAGCCGAGAGACACCAGCCACTTCGGCGAATGTCCTGCAAACAAGCTGCTGGGCCTACTAAACGCAAAGGGCCCTCAGCCCTCTGCCCTGAGCGTCGGAGAAGCGATGATTGTCCTCGAGCGCTCGCGTGGCCGTCGAGGCCAGCTGGCGCCCGGCACCCAGCGGACGCCCGTCCAGTGAAAGGAGCGACCTTTGGTTTTTTGGAAACTACAGGTGGGGAGTTTAGGGTATATGGGGCTTCTACAAGGCTTCTATAAGGTATATAGGCTCCTATAAGGGTAACTACCCACCTGAAAATGTCTTAGATTTGGGGTTGATATCAGCGAAGCTGCAAGTTTCGGGTCTAGGGAGATTATATAGGGTTTAGGGTTTAGGGGCTAGGGGGATTAGGGTCTAGGGGGACTAGGGTCTAGGGGAATTAGGGTTTTAGGGTTTAGGGCTTTAAGGCTTTAGGGTTTTAGGGTTTAGGTTTTAGGGCTTTAGGGCTTTAGGGCTTTAGGGTTTAGAGCTTAGCGTCAGGTGAATGAAGGGCTTCATAAACGGACGTTGTGGGATGTGGAGACAGTATAGCGCTTGATGTAGGTGAAAGGAGGGATCTAAAATGCGGTGTCTAAACGGGAGCGCTTAGGTTTGGCCTCTCCCACCCGACACCCTGAACTCTCAAAAGACCAAACACTCCAAATCTCTACAAACCCAGTTTTTTTCCGAAGCCGTTTCTTTAGGGTTTAGGGTTTAGGATTGAGGGTTTTTCAACTGCCCAACCTTTGTCCAGTGCACCGCGCGGCAACAGTCACAAAAAACACATGCAAACTGCGTTGTTCCACTGGGCACGGTGCGTCTGAACCCTCCCCCACGCCCACCTCACCACCAGAAAACTCAAGCAAGGTCCTACATCCTGAAATCCCTCAAGGCGGAACACCAATATCAAGAACAAACCCTAAACCCTAAACCCTCACTTCAATCTGGGAAAGGGGCCGCACGCCCAAGCCGCTTCCAACGACAAGCACCTGCTGCTTCTGTTTGAGGGTGTATGGCCCCTTAAACCCTAAAACCCTAAACCCTGAAACCCTAAACTTTACCCTAAAACCCTAAACCCTAAAACCCTAAAACCCTAAACCCTGAAACCCTGAACCCTAAACCCGAAAAAACTAAAGCCCTAAACCCGGGCATTCGGATGCTGTCGTCTACGGCAGCGGGTAGAGCATGTCGGAAACCCGGCAGCAATTTCTGGGGCTCAAAACCCGACCCTAAACCCTAAACCAGAAACAACTGAGCATCCCTGGGCCACGAACCGAAAGCTTCCAAAACCACAACACCTCGGGAACCACCAGCTCTACAGTGTCTTCCGAGCTTTTGAGGTGTGGATGGTGTGTGTCTGTGCGCGCGCGTTTGTGTGTGTGTGCGTGTGTGTGTGTGCGTGTATGTATATGTATATGTGTATGTATGTATGTATGTATGTATATATATATGTGTGTGTATATATATATATATACACACATATATCTCTCTATATCTCTCTCTTTATACAACTATGCTTAACAAACTTGGCAGCTCATGAAATACTAGAAGTTCTTCGTCTAGGCACGGATACCTCCAAGCAAGGGCAGTGGCGTCAGTTAGACAGAAGTGACAAGGGTTTTGTTTCTCATGTGTGCATAAGTCGAAGCCCTGCACTCTGCGTGTAGCTAGCTACATGTAAACAACCAGCGAAACCCAGAATCCGTGCCTCCTCAGCCTGCCACAGCATGTCCAATGGGATATCCGCCTGATGCGAACGTCCTACTGTAAAACCGTTATAGACTTTTGGGGTTTATGAACTATTATAGACATTTGGGGTTTATGAACTATTACAGACTTTGGGGGTTTATGAACTATTATAGACTTTTGGGGTTTATGTTGCCAGGTATGAATATAGGGTTTAGGGTTTAGGGGTTTAGGCTTTAGGGTCCCAAGGAAGAGAGCTACTCAATCTCCAGGCCTCGCTGCTGGGCTTAGTGGTCCCAGAGGCTCCGGAGGTCAGAGCTTCGGATTTTGCAGGGGCTAGGAAACGGGAAGTGGGATCAGGGTCCATATATATATATATACATACATACATACATACATACATACATATATATATATACACACATGTATATGTCTGTGTGTATATAGATATGGTTGTAGGCAGGTGTATGGTGTGTGTATATATATATATACACTTATGCAGTTGTCGTCTAGGGCTGTGGAACTTAACGGGTTCGCAACTCTCGGCGCAGGTGGTGGTTTGAGGAAATCGGCCCTCTCGTTTTCACAGGAGTCTGACAGTACCGAGCGAAAATGCGGCGAAGCTCAACCTCCCGCCCCAAGGCCCTGGACCCTGTACCCGACGATCAATCTTAATACTTCTTAATGAAGAGAGCCCAAAGAGCACATTCCAACAAACAAACGACTCCCAAAGCCCCAACTCCCCCGAAACCATCCCAGAAACACGATACCCTAAATCCTAAATCCCGAAACCCCCCTAAACCCGAAACACTCGGCCCCTTAGCTCTAAAGCCCTCCCTGCCATGAGGCCTGGCGGATGCGAAAAGGCGCCAGTCCTGATCCAACTTTCGGGAAGCAGGTCGAGGGGAGACCCTACCTACGGCCCCAATTCGCCTAAAGCAAGTACTGTTTTTATAGGTTTAAGGTTAAGGGCTTCTTTTTTAAGAGTTTAGAGACATGCGACAACAGAGTATATGCGACAACAGAGTATGTACCGTTTGTATAGGTGAAGCTTGAGGCGTCGGAAGAAGAACTGTTGGCTTCAAGGCTTTCGGCATCTCAGGCTTCAGGCTTTGAGCTCTTGTCTAAAACCCTAAACCCTATATTCCTAAACCTTTTTGAAACCCTGAATTACTAAACCCCTAAACCCCCAAACGCAGAACCCCTCAACCCTAAACACCTAAAGAGATGGGGGGGAAGCTTGAGGGAGTAGGGAAGCATGGGCTTGAAGGCTCCCAGAGAGCCCAATACCCCTTATTTAAGGAATCTACGGTAAATCATAATATTAAGGGCCCTATAATTTAAGGTATGTTCCTTAATTAAGGGCTGTTGGCAGGTAGGCATCGGAGAAGGCTTAAGGTCCGCAGGGGCTTGCGGTTTAGGGTTTAGGGGTTTAGGGGAGGGGTTTAGGGGTTAGGGTTTGGGGCCATCCTGGCGGGCCCTAGGGAGTACGGTATCATCGGGCTGTAAAGATGGCATAATTAAGGGGTTTCAGTGGGGTTTCGGGACTATAGGGTTGAACGATTGACCCGTCGGCTCCCAAACCCAGTTTGCTGCTTAGGCCTGATCTGGCTTGTAGTCTTGGGGCCTTTGAAATTCATTATGAAAAGGTACCTCTCTAGGAACGACAAAGAGAAAATGAACAGCTTCCCAAAGTGCCACCTGGTTACGTTCCATGTCATGTTAAGAAGAATTTCCGGAGCTGAGACCAAGAGCTTTCCAGCAAAATCTCTTCGGGTACAGAGGCACGGAATCCCTTGAACCTCCCCCGCAAGGTGCACATGAAGATGGTGGCTGTGGCTGTCGTCGTGCTGGTGGGTATGGCGAAGGCGATGGTGATGATGATGACGGCGGTGGGGGTGGGGGTGGTCGCGGCGGCGGTGGCGGCGGCGGCAGCTGTGGCGGTAGTGCTGGTGGTAGTGGGGTGGAGGTGGTGAGGGTTATGGTGTTTCTGTGTTGGACATCTCCGCCAGGCCCACTCCGCCTGCCTGCCTTTTCCTAGCAATGTTCTAGATTCTGGCATCGCCTGACCTGTTCCCGCAAAGACAAAGACAGTGAGCAATGCGATTCTGCTTTGTTCTCATCCGGGAGGGGGTGAGTCCTTGCAATACTGCTGCTTTGTTTGGCGTCATATCAGGGGCTCCTAATTAATTATGGATTATGGAGTTTCCGAAACTCTCATGTGGTTTTTATGTGGAGAGTTCTGCAGGCCAAGCAGCGCGGCTCCAGAAGCTCGAGAGTGACGGAATGCACAGCCCGAGCCTTTGAAGGAACGGCATTGTCTTGTCGATTTGTTGGGTTTCGAGTTTTTGGAGCTGATAAGCAGGAATGCTGTTTTGAAACCGCCGAAGCCTTAAATCAACCCAAAACCCTGAACCCTAAATCCCAAACCCTAACCAAACACTCACACGGTTGACAGGGCCCCTTGTGGAGGAGACCCCTGTGGGTTGCACTTTGCCGAAGGGGCGTGTTGCGGCCCTTGGGGCGCCAAAGTGCAACCCACGCGGTGTAGGGTTTAGGGTTTAGGCCCCTTATCAACCCCGCGATAAACTGTAAATTGTTGTGTAAACCACAAAGTGTCAGTCATGAACTAACAGTAACTAACAACTATCCCTAAAACCCTACAGTAAACCACGAACCCTAGCCCGAACCAGAAAAGTCCGAAACCCTAACCATAACCATAAATCCTCAACCCCTAACCATG